TATAAGGTGCCACAAAAAAAAAAAATCCGAGTCGGCTCGGCCCGGGCTCGAGCCGAAAGCTCGGGCCGAACCTCATTTTTTTTGGCGGGGCCCGGCTAGGCTCGGCTCGTTGCCACCGCTAGTTTTGCCTTTACGTTTTAACATCTACAAAAAGGTTTACTTATTTGAAATGTTGATTCTTTTGTCATGTAAATAATGGATAGCATATAGAGGAAATACCTTTTATCCTTAGGCTGGGGTTCTAGTTTCCGTTTACCATATAAAATATTCACACCACTTGCTCTACTACTCAAAAGCTTATAAAGAGCCACCATCTCTAGTTCTGTTAAATATTCATATTCTTCCTCTTTAGTGAACATTTTTAGCAATTCAATATCTTAGTATTTCATTTTGAAGTGTTTTTCATCTTTTCGGTTAATTTTGTTTTTATTGTCGGGGTGACCTTCAGCTATCACTCTTCGAAACTTTGACACACGTACTTATATATTAACTAATCTTTTTCTCTATATATTTCAATTGTATTTATGCAATCCATATGGTGGTGTTATGCATGGAAAAAATAGTCACATATGAGACTGGAAATCCTCAAAGAAGATTGTATGCATTCAATTATATTACCATAAATTTCATTTATGTTTGCTTGTTTGCAAGCGCATTTTTCTCAGATGCAAACACTTGTTGGATGTTACCTTTACCAGAAATGCGTGGATGTCACCTTGGTGCACCTAGGATTTCCCAACAGCAGCTTTATTTTGGTCAAGTTGGTCATGTGATGCTACCGCTGAGTCGTTGACAGGTATAGGTTTCAGTAGCAATACATGCCTGGAGTATGCCAGTTTCTACAAACTTCTTGCCTTTCCAACATCGATGGCAAGGACCACATGTGGGTCCGAGGAGATGTTGAAACACTTAACGCCATCAAAAGGCATGTCATGTTTCCTCTATTTATAACCTCTTCGTGTTTCTTGTCAATAGGTACTCATAAGCTATTAGAGTTTTCTTTCTCCTTTGGCTGTTTGGCTATTATATATATACCTACATGAAATACAGAACCCATTGAATATTATGATTAGCGTACACAAGATTATACAATACCACTTCGAGAAAATCAAAATTTTTTCTTCTTTTACAAATCCAAGAAGTCAATCCTCTTTATGGTGCTTTGACTCTTGCACAAACTTCTTGTTTTTACAAAATGAACTTAGTTATCTTACTTTTTGTTTTTCTACAACATTCCTAATTCTCTTTATGATGTGATTTTATGCATTAGGTGCAGTGTAACTTATACCAAAGTTTTAGTGGATACATGATCAGTGGACGAAATGGTATAGATCCTTCTATACTCCCACAAGGTCCAATAGGTCACATGGCACTTAATGTATCAGCAGTGCCAACAACTTTTTCGGGCATTCAGCCTATCGGTACAGTGTCTAGGTCAACACTTGCTTCAACTTCCCCAGAAAATCAACAATGGTTAAGTCCTATTTATAGGCTTCTCTTCTCTCACAATCAGTGGCGGAGCCAACACCCGATGAGGGAGCCCGGCTTGCTGGCTTTGTTGGGATTTTCAGTAGGCACTGGCCGAGGGGCATCACGCCCAATTGCAGAGGCGGAATTGTAGAATTGTGGAAGGGAAGCCGAGAAATAAGATGAATGCTAAGTTGGGCCTCTTTTATTTTAAAACAATAGGCCAAAGTCATATATTTTGATTATTCATGGGCCACAAAAAATTGGAGGAAATGATCTAAAATCCAAACCAGTGAAATCACAATTCAATTGTGAAAAAACCAATGTTCTAAAATTCGCGCAAATGCGCCGCTTAGGCGCGACG